CCGCATTTCGCAAACCGCTACTTTGATTTTGTCGATTTTGACAATTATCAAGTAAAAGTATACACCGCCTCAAAAATTTTAAATGCCCTGAAACTCACTAATACTTTCACAAAAGTCAGCGCTTTTACAAACTTCTATTAAGTTTCACCTGTGTGTAATCAAATCTTGCAATCAGTTTTTAACCAACTTCCCGATGAGGTTTTCAAACATGGTCCGAGATGGTTCGTATTTGGATGGTTCGTATTTAGAATGAATTTTACATGAAAAGGAATAACTCCACAAAAAATTTGCCCGAAATGTGACGCACGAGTCGAAATATTAGGAAAATCTGTGGGATTTGTTTCTTATTTAGAACCTATGTATAATACTTAAATAGAAAAAAATAATTTAAAAAAATTTAGCCCTCGAGTTTAAATTTTCTTTTTTATTAACTACTAGTAAACTAGTTGTTGGGCCTTATGCATAAAAAGTAAGCTTAAACTCATACTCAATTTTCGCATTGATCAAGTGAGTTAAAGCTTAAGAATTTGTACTGAAAATCGAGTCGGAGCTGAAGCTCACTGTTTATGCATGAGACCCATTGTCTTCAATCATTATTGGTTAACAAACGAGTCTTAACGTCTAGTTTCAACGAAGTCTTACAATTAACTCTTAGGGTAAAAACACTACGAGTAGGTCGTGGTGTTTAGTTTAGATGACTAGCAAGCCTTCGTCAGTCGGTCAAAGCCGTGCGAATGTACGAGAGCCAACATTACTTTCAGCTTGCTACTAACCTAACTAACTATGTAGTAGGTTAGGCTGACTTCATGAATGTTTGTTTTCGTCAGTAAGATAGTCAGCTGCAATCAAGTGGAAAATGTGAATTACAAACGGAAAATGTGCACCAACATTGAAGGAAAAATTACTTCATTTGCAATAAAGCTTAAGGCGTTACCGCCCTAATTTTAATAGGTTTCTAATGTTTTATTGACTAACTTAAATTTGCTATTCAGCTGACTAATAAATAGCAAAACGTCTGCGTACTGTGTAATTTTCCCTCGATGTTAAGCTCATAGTCAGCTTTCTAGATATCTAAACCGTGATTGGACCTGCTCGTAGTGTTTTTACCCTTAAGGTATAGTTACGTACGTTACATACGTACATATGCACATACGTAGCACATGCCTGCGACTGCAATTAACGGACTTAACAACTTCGGATACGAGTGCTTTTTCGATCAGTTTATGGCGATTCGTAGGCGCTGGAAAATTTCAATCGAAAAATACTAGAAAACGAATCGGTTATGAATATATTCTATGGAAGGTTTCGAAAGATATCTCGATGATCCTTAATTTTTCGTAGGATAACTTTTCTAACTAAGGTAAAAACCATCCTAAAAATGTTGGACGAAGAATCTTCGTCTATCCATCGCAAATAATACTCATTTAACTTGACTGCAAAAATAATTAGCTTGAGCTTTAAAATTTTCAAAAACCTCAAAATACGATTTTTTTGCTAGGTTTTGCGATGAGTCGCTATACTTTTTATTGTGACTGTTATTGTTGCCAAGATTCGAATTTGGAAAAGTACTAAACCCCAAGAAAATTTGCGTTTTTTCTCGAAAAATATATATTATTATGAAATATACTCCTTAAAACTTGTAGTCACAATAACGCTAGCTCAGTTCACTAAATATCCCACCCAAGAAATCATTGCATTCACACTGAATGCATACGTGGGTCATTTCCAAACAAGGAGAACATGGCAGGTATTTCTTATATATTTTTTTAAGATTAATTAATTTATCCTCTGAAAAATTAAAAATAAATCGTTTACTGATGTGAAAAGTTGTGCAGAATACGAAACTGCTTTCAGGCTCTTCAAAAATTATTATTTTTTCTTATTTTTTTATTTTTGTAAAATATTTTTTACCTGTCATACTTGTGCCAAAGTTTTGATATGCGATTTAAGCTTAAATAACTAAATTTTATAGATCTTTAAATAAGTTCAAAAGTCGAAAAACAAAATCGGCTGCCTGAAATGTCAACGCCTAATATAAACTTTGGACTGTTCTCTGCGATCGAAGTTAATAATAGCACAAACTGTATGAAAACTCTGAGTGACAGCGATATTAGCTGTAGCAAGAGCAACCGAAGCAGCAGTAGCCTAAGTAAAGCAATGAACAGTGGAGAAGTTGCTCAACATGACATCATAACAATGAGCACTTTGAAAAGGGAGCAGCCACAGACAAATGAATGCACAAATCACAGCAATATAAGCGTCGACAAGATGCAGTCGCCGAAAACAATTAGTGAAATACCGGCTACAGCAACAAAATCAACCGGATTTAGTGCGGCAATACAAAGGCTTATAACACCAGCACCGGATTACAAGTATGGGAGCGATGAAGCGCATTGTTCGGCAGGCAGGCCATTGAATGTAAAAATTTCAAAGGACTCAAAGGTTGAATACGAGTTTGCTGAAACCCGCAATGCAACGCTTTCGAATACGACGATTGCTACACCAAGTGGCATCATTCAACCCTCTCAACACAAAAATGTCCCCCCGCTGACAGTCACTACGTCCAAATCGTTGGCACATGATCACCAAAGACAAATTAAATCACTAAATATACGTTTTGAGAATATTTGCTACGGTGTTAAGACTGGATTCTACAAAAGAGGTTAGTAATGTCAGCAATTGGTATTTTATTGGTAGCTTAGAGTTAAAAGTAGATACATAAGTCCACATTTTATGAAAACTTACATTTCGATACAGGAAGCAATAAAAATTAAAAATACATCGTTTTCATTGATATTGAGCATGTAGAAAACAACGTTATCTTAGATACAGAATTTCCAATAACAAATTTCGTATTCAAATTTGTTGTTGTATCACCTTTGATGATCATGTGCGATATGTATATACTAATCGAGAGCATAAATCCTATAGAATGTGTTAAACAGATGAGTGAAAATTACTATTACTGCTTACCTGCTCATCAGGGACCAAAAATAACTGTTATCTCGAATTTAAAAATTGAAAACGTTGCCCGGATTCTGAAATTTATCGAAAACGTTGTTTCATAACAGTTATTAGATGAAAAATATTTTGTATTTCCCCGATAAGAGTTATAATCCAAGGTCTATTTTTTACGTTAACTGTTACTGTAACTGTTGTTTATTGTCCAGCGTTTGTTTTTAAGTTGCTTGACAACAGTTATTGCCCAACGTTTATCTCTTACGTTGCTTGATAAGAATAATGACGAAAATGGTGATGGAGAAGAATATAAAGATGATGAAAATAAAAGTAGAGGACTGAAATAACTGTTATCAGACAACGTAAAAACAAACGTTGGGTAATAACTGTTATCAAGCAACGTAAAAAATAAACGTTGGAAAATAACTGTTATCAAGCAAAGTAAAAAACAATCGTTGGGAAATGACTCTTATAGACGACGGAAAATATATTTCTCCTGCATAACAGTTATCAGGCAACGTAAAAATTAAACGTTGGGCGATTACTCTTATCGGCGAAATAAAAAATATGTCTCATCTAATAACTGTTATGGAACAAAGTTTTTCCGATAAAACTTAAAAGCACGTTAGATTTCATACAAAATAGATTAAACAGATGGGTGAAGGTCGTGCCTTATTTGGATCTTCTACTAATTGTGGAGGCCCGTACCGAATATTTTATGAGTTGACGAAATCCACAATTTTCCATTTGATTCGAAATTTACGATATTGTCTGCTTGCAATGGTTGTCAGGCACAAATCAGATGCTCAATGGCTTGCTCAAAATTTGACAGTAGTCATCTAAAAAATAACTGCTAACCGGGGAATTCAAAAAGGATCTGAGTTATCAAACTGTGCTAGTACCTTTTGCTTACATATATGTATTTGCTTACATATATGTTTTTAAATCGATTACATCGAAGATCGATTAGATTCGATTCTTGGCGATTTTTTAGTTCCGATTCGATCCGTAAATCGTTCCAAAAATTCGAGAATTGACATTCATCAATCATCAATTGATACCACAGTATATACAGTAATAAACCTTTTTGAGTACTCCTCGGAGGTAAAATCTGATCAGGGTTGATAATGAGAAGGAGCATGAATTTTGTTGATTCAGAGTTGTATACAAAATTACTGTGGTATGAAAGGGAGCAACAACCGTACTATGGCAGAGTGGCACAAGTCATGACTGTTTAATAGTGCCCGAAACTAATTGCAAAAGTGTAAAAACATTGCAAATTTTTGTCTATTATTATAGATACTAGTACAGATTATCATAGTTTAGTGTATAATTTGTTATATTATATCGTACATGATAATGAACTGTTAAGTGCTGAAAACGCTTGTGTGCTTAATGGACTGTCTGGTCGGATGCGCAGGCAGGCATTGAGGTCTGTGTAGATATACAAACCCTGTTCTTTTTTTTTGAAATAAAGACTTAAATATATATTCGGAAATTTAGAGTTTGGCCTGATAAATTCACAAAATTTAGGTTTTTCATAAAAAAATGTATCTTACAATGGACCTTTTTTAATTTAAACTTACATTTAAGAAAACTCCATTCAATGCTATAATTACGATTTGAGTTTTCCAGTTTATAAAATACAAGCGTTAATTATGTACTTAACTATTGATATTATTCTTCATTAAGCATGAATATCGGCATACATTAAAGATGAATATAATACTTAACCTACATTTTGTTCATAAATAACACATAATTATGTATATTTTATCCTCGAAATGAACTTTTTCTAATCATGAGGTGGAATTCCCCACAGTAAGTGTTGCCGTGCACGCAAAACGAAAACGCTGCACACAACCCAAAAGTACTCCTCGGGGACCAAATGGTGAAAAACTGCGAAAAGGTTTGTTACTGTATATACTGTGATTGATACACATTGATCCTACGGTTTGCCCTAGAAAGTCTATAAAATTTTTAAGAAAGATTAATTTGAGGCTGGTACAAAAAATGCAGGCTTGGCAACTCCCACGTTTCCAACTTGAGAAAGCAAAGCCCAAAGAATTCAATGACCTCCTTCTCTTTCTTGCAGGCCTCGTCAGGGAAACTTTATATAAAGTTATGGGTAATAATTTTTGCAATAAAGACTCCGAAAAATGGAGTTTTAAACTTTGTGGATATTTTCGTAAAATGTTGTACACCCTAATTACCTTCTTTACAAAAATTTGAGTATGCCATTCTATAGCCCTTGGAATTTTAGGTGCAAAGTTGCAGACAGAGTGGAAGCTAAGCCGAAGATGAAGATGAAGACGAAGCCGAAGACGAAAAACAGTGCAGTACAGTGATCAGACTTCTACCACATTGTGGGAGATCTGCCACTTTCTTGAGCATCTACCACACAAGGTCTGAAATCTACCACATATTCGCGTTTTTGAGTACAGTGAAACCCGCTTAAGTACCCAAAAACACATCTGAGAAAAAATTTTTAAATTATCATGAATTTTTTTCTTTAAGTGTTCTATAAAATCTTAAGCTTAGGTTTACATAGTATTTGTTAGGGAATGAACTGTATTTTAATTGAAAAATCTTAAATAAATACGTATACTTCATTAAATGTTTATGTTTTATTCAAGGATTTACATATTTATCTAAGATAACAAAAAGATGTAGCTACATCAATAATTATGTTTGCTTAAGTACCCGCATCGAGGTACTTAAGCGGGTTCTTTTAAGTACCCAACCCGCCTAAGTACCTCAAAAAGCTGACATTTTTCGTGAGGTACTTAAGCGGGTTTTACCGTAGCTTTATTTTCGACATTAACTTATCAATTTTAAGAACAAGAATTTTCCAACACTGAACACTAACACAGGCAAAATGGGAGGATAAAATAAACCGTAAAATACTAAATTTTCTCAACATTCAATTTTTCGACAGGAAACATGGTTTTGTTGTGTTAAATTGCAAAATATATGATTTATAAAAAGGAACTAATAGGGAAAATGTTAAAAAACGGCGATTTTTGTGAAATTATTAGAAAATTTCACTGCATCTAAAGTTTCTAAAGCGTTGTTTACTTTTACTTGAGAATTGTCAAAATCGGTTTCTGGAACATGCCACATTTGTCCGCTACATTGTGATGTGATAAAAAGAAAAGCTGGCAGCACTCCGCAAGGTTGCAGAAATCTTTCAAAATACGTTCGAAAAATATCTTGATATGGAAGGAACTACTTTACACTGTCAAGGAAAAAAATGCCAAAACTCAACGGCATTTTTAGCAACTTCAATCTTGTACTTTAATAAACTTAAATTAATTTTTTTTAAATTATAATTAAAATGTTGGTAATTTAGGTGCAACCTTGCAGAATATTTTTAAGTTTTGTACAAAGTTTGATCCAAAACCTGAGATCTACCACATTTTTCTGAAAGCTACCACATTTTTTTCCAGATACTACCACACAAATTTTTAAAGTCCGATCACTGGTGCAGTAGTAAACAGGTGAAAGTGATCACAGTGCAAGCGAACACGAAGACGAAGATGGAAGACATTGCGGAAGCAGTAAGCTTGAAACTGTGCGGTACTGTTCTCAAAGCGAATCGCTTGCTGTGATGAGTTGTTTATATTTTATTTAATTGTTTACAATTGTGAAAAAACGCGTTTTTCAAGAAACGGCCAAATTTTTGACAAAATTTAATCAAACGTATTAATTGACAATCTTGTCCGTCTTGCCGTAATACATAATACAAGTGGCGAAATTCTCCAAAAGTTTTCCTACACAAATTTATTTCATGAATTGGTTTTATTTAGAAACAAATCTTCATGTCATTCATGATTCAACAACTACAGGTTGTAGCAATCGTACAAAACCAACATTTACCGTTGGTATGATCTCCTTGTGTCATCAACATCGTCTTTATCTATTCATATTCGTGTGTATATGTATACCCTGCACACCAGGATTTCATAGAATTCTGAAAGGTTTCACAATTTTTTTAAGAATTTTCTTTAAGAAATCGTACAGAAATTTCTTTACTAGTTCTTGTCAACCGCTTCATATGTTTTTCTTTACAGATTTCTAAAAGAATCGTAACAAATTTCCGACACTCTTAAAGATTTCGGGAGCATTTGTTTGCAGGGTATTTATATACGTATATGTGTATGTATACGCGGATATGTAAACAAAGCAAAACAGACGATAATTTGACACAAGCGTGCTTATAAGAAGAAGCATAGCTTCTATCGCTATCACCTGTAATTGATGCGCCTTGAAGATGAATGACTTCCACTATGATTTGATTTTTTTCGATTTTTTTTCGTGACGTTCTGCACATTTTCCTCCACACAAAAACAATTTGAGGTTTGAAGGAATGAAGAATATCTTCAGTGGAAAAAATTGCCAGAAATCAAAATGCCACTCTGTATCTGTCAATGTTATGCTGGCTTATTAAATGGCCACTTTTTTAAACTAAAATTCAATCGTCTACAAAACTGCATTCCTAATTTTTTTTTTATTGTAATTAAGGAGTGAAAGTTAGAGTTAAGGCCTGTATGCAGCTCTCAAGAAAAGCAAAAACTCCATATAAAATGACGTACAAGAAATGGCTAAGAAATTTTCTTGAGTCAAATTTCCTTAAGGCAGTACGCCGTTCTTAAGGAAATTGCTACGCTTTCTACTACGGTTTTCTAAAGTTTTTTGTGAAACAAAATCACAAGGCAACCCAGGGTTGCAACGGAAATATATGCCCGTTCCATTATTTCTTGAGGAGAAGAGTGAGGCAACAGGCTGTGAAGTATCAAAAATGACCAAATTCCTTGGACACACACACGAAATAATGGTAATTTTTTCTTGACCGTTTTCTTGAGAGCTGCATACAGGGCATTAGCTAAAACAAAAAAAAATTCAAAAATCGTCCGTATTGCCTCAATGCGCAAGCTTTAAATAAGCTCCAATCGGGCTCAAATTTTATATTCCATAATTTTGCAACCAACTTCACGTATTAAGATGGTATCCCCATCAAATTAGATCCACCTTAATATATTGTTACGATTATCCTTGACTACTTGATGGATTTACCAAAAATCTCTAGGCTCGTATCACTGGATTGTTAAATAAATGCTCACGATAACCAAATTGCAGTACAATTAACTTTATTGTACAACAAACATTTTACAGTACTTGTTTATGCAATAACAACAATAAGTTAAGGCAATTAAAACACTTTACAAAACTTGCTAACACAATTTATCTCTGTTTCACAACTTGCTTGTAGTTTGCTGATTCGCAACTAGTGATGTCCCGATACCAGTACTTAGAAGTATATACTCGAGTACGTCTACCAAGTACCGAGTATTTTTTGTACTTCGATACGCGTGAAGAAGTACTTCATGGGTATCGAGTACAAAGTGCAAGTATTTACTTGTTTGCTAAATTTGGGAAAATCAACTGAAAATAGATCTGTGTTGTAGTTTTCGAAAAAAGAAAAACGATTAAAGATATGAACCACTCGATTTCGGTAGGGTTAGAACTAACGAAAGTGGAGAACGAAAATCGTATCGAATTAGAGGAGGTTGTGGAGCCAGCCTATGATTTGCGGAAGCGTCGTCTATAGATCATTTTTAAACCGAAGAATCAAACACACGTAAAGAATGAGCTTTCTCATTACTTAACATCTCCTATTTCAGCACTTCCAAGTAAGCCCATTTGAAAATAGAAGGATATGAAAAGGCATTTTCAGTTCTTCATAAGCTTTTCTTCACTGTATGTCGTTATATCGTAAATGGGCATTGAATTAAAATTGCTTGTGTGAGTACTTTCAAGTACAAGTAGAATCGAGTATTTCCTAGCGATACTTTGAGTAGCATCGAGTATCCTCTTCGATACTTTTAATGAGTACAGGCATCGAGTACATGGTGGTATCGGACGAACACTATTCGCAACTGACTGGCCTGTCTGGTAGCTTGCTGACTTTCAACTAACTTGACTTCCACTGTGGTAACGGCCTTATATACCTTTGCTCGCACCCACGACAACTCTAGAACGTTCTGAAGTTTATCGCTCATTCTCTCGTTGTTCGCAGTATTCATCCACTTGACGTTTGTCACTGTCGAATATTCTACGTCATTCCTCGAACATTCTGCCATGTTCTCGTTGCTCGTTTCGCGTTACCGAAGTATTCGCCACAATATACATTTGTTTATATATACGTTTATTTTGAAAAAAGGATCTGCTACGATTTTCGGACATGAACATTCGAAATCCTTGAACAATTTCCAACAAATCTGCATCAGCAGAATGCTGGTATATTTTCGAAAAACCTGTTCGTGCTTGAGGGCAGTGTTGGCAAAATGTTAATCTGATTAACGATTAAAATTTTAATCTGATTAACGATTAAAATTTTAATCGCGATTGACGATTAAAACTAATTAGTCGTAATCAACTGTATGATTAATGATCACCTTTTTTCAATCGTTAATCGCTGGCGGCGATTACGATTAATTAATAGCCATACCTGACTAACTCGCTTTGTGTGCACAGGAAAATTCCAGCATAAATTAATTAAGCATCATACCTACTTAATCAAATTAAGAGTTAATGATTAAAAATTAATTTTTTTAATCGGGGTTACGATCAACTGTTTAATCAGATTAAAATTAATCATGATTAACTGTAATCGGATTGAATTTAATCGAATTCACTAATTGATTAAAAAATCAATCGATTAATGCCAACACTACTTGAGGGCAACTGTGAAAAGCATATATGTAATACTTCTATATTGGCAGTAAGCTAACTTCTCAATGTGTGAGCATTCCGAAATCAGAGCGAGACAGTCTAGTACTGCTTTTGTCAATGTATTGTGTACTTGAGTGCAGTTTTTGCATATGTGTTGTGTACATGTTTATTTATAAACGTATGTGTTCCTTTTCTTTCGTACGTGTTTATTGATATATCTGTACTGTAGTGTTTTCGGACGGTACTGCCAATATAGGAGGTACTCTTACTGCCAATATAGGAATATTACATATATGGTGAAAAGTTGATATCCGCAGATGTGGATGTAAAGTATTTTTAAGGAATAATTTAGGTAAATTATGTAATAATTCTACTACTACTACTACTACACATATGTTAGTGTACAGTTTTACGCCGACTCCGAACGGCGATTGTATTTTTATGAGAAGCTGTTTTTCATTGCAGAAATACACTCGGAGGTTTGCCATTGTCTGCCGAGGGACGATCGCTGTTAAGAAAACCTTTTTCTATATTTTTTGCGATGTTGCTTTGACCACTACACCATAGCGGCGAATTTTGCAATATGGACGTCAAAAGAATGTGACTTAAGAAGGCTTACAGCCAAAAATATTATTTTAAAGTTGCCACCTGTTTGAAAATTTAATTAATAAGATAAATTGAATATTGCAGTATGGGTATCAAACTGAAGAGGTTTGGGAAATTTGACTGCCGAAAATATTTTTATCTATACTTATAATAAAATTTCAACAGACGATGTCAGTACCTTGTAGATATTATTAAAGAAAAATTAATATGGTGGGTTTCTATTAGAGCTACAGAAGACAAATAATCAATTTTTAGAATTTTCGACTCTCTGTATGTCTGTATATTTGTACGCGCATCACTCGCAAACATGGAATTGAATGCAGTTTTCACCGATGTATAGCTAAAGATCTAGCTTACAATATAGAAGAAAAAAAATTAGAGAGTTGACAGTTTAGATCAATTGATCCGGTAAAGTAAATACTGCAATATGGCTGTCAAAGGAAAGAGGTTTACAAAGGCTTGCAACTGAAAATATTTTTGTGAAAGGTGGCCACCTATTTGAAAACTTGATTTTAGTTTAATTGATAGCATAAATTAAATATTGCAATATTGGCATCAAACTAAAGAGGCCCAAAATATTTTTAGGGGATTTGCCAACTGCTTGAAAAATTGTATTCATTTAAATTTGTAAAATAAATGAAATATTACAATATGGACATTAAACTATAGAGGATTAGGAAGCTTACTTTTGAAAATATTTTTGAAGCGGGTTGCCACTTAAATGTTGCTATATGGATATATAATAAAATTGCGAAGTAAGCGGCCATTGGCTAGTATCAAATAATTATTTATTTCATTTTATTAGTAACTAGCCAATGCCCGCTTACTTCTCGGCGCCTAATAAGAGCTTTTGCGTTGGCCAATGCAAAAGAACATTTAAAAACAAAAATAGCCTGTAAAGTCAAAATTTTTGATTTAAGTTAAAACCACTAAGGCGCAGTATCCTCCTCACACATAGGCCAATAACAGTAACGCTGTGATACCATATGGAATACCAATCCCTTTCGGTGTCATGAGCTTTACCGATAGTCTTATTTCCATCTGTGAGATCTCTGCCAAGCGTGCGTAATCTTTTTCTATGATCTTTCCTTGATAATTCGCCACTTTTACAATTCGCGGTAATCTCCGTTCGTTTGGCGATTCTACCGAACCGATTTCAAAACCAAGAGCACCGTTGGAAAGGCATTTTTCCGTAGATGAGCAGAGTTTTTATGGTTTTACAATTGATTGAAAATTACCAAAACCGTCGTTTAAACATTTTCGAATTGTGTATACATGTTGCTGCAATATGTTCAATTTGACATGTTTCGCCTGTTGTTTCACTACACATTTGAAATTAAGCTTTGAAATAAAGATAAATATGAAGATGAAGAAATAAAT